GGGTCTCCGGGGCTGGGGGTTCGGACAAGGGAGACTCCGGGCGCTGGGTCTGAGCTAGCCCCTCTCCCATGCCTAGTTGGTTCTACTGCGGGTCCCGGGTCTTTTTCTGAGGGGCGGGAGCCTCGCAGCCGGCCGGAGACCCCGCTCCTGGCCGGGAGCTGGGCAGTTACCTGTCGGGGCTCCCCGGACAGGCAGCAACGGGGAGGTTTGGGCTGGCTGGGACGGAGGTGCCCACCTAACTTCCTGCTCTCCTGAACTTGCCCGCATCTGCCCCTTGCAGAGCCGTTACCAGCTGTAAGGGCCGTAAGCGCTGGGCCTGCAGACATCATGAGCGTGGGCTTCATCGGGGCTGGCCAGCTGGCCTTTGCCCTGGCCAAGGGCTTCACAGCGGCAGGTAGACCGTGGGCATGGGAAGGAGGCCTACTGGGAATGGCTGGGCCTCGACCCCCGCGGGGGGCTGCCTCCCGAAGTGGGGGTGGGGATTACATGGACCCAGGAGTGGGGAAAAGCAGTGTCCCTATGTTTGGGGTTGCTGTCTTGCCGGGGGGGGGCTTTTCAGTGACCTTTCTGAGTATATGCAGGGCAGACATGGCCTTGAATGAGGAACTCTGTCCCCCCAGGTGTCCTGGCTGCTCACAAGATAATGGCCAGCTCCCCAGACATGGACCTGGCCACAGTTTCTGCCCTCAGGGTAGGTGCTGGGTCGAGGGGTGGGGTGGAGGGTGGACAGGAAGATTGGGTCCCTACAGCATGTGTTTGGAGCTAGGGTTGTGACAGCCCTGATGTTCGTTGATGGACCATAGATGGAGGAGGCTGTGACCCTACCTCTTCACCCTGCCTGTGGCTCCCAGTGCTGGCCCTATGTACAGCTAGTAGGAGAGGGCACTCCAGGGGCATAGGGTTTTCTGGATGGTGTTAGAGATTGAATAGGGGGTCAGGCAGAGGGGTCGCAGCAAGGGGCTATATAAGACATGCCTGGAGGCTGAATACCTTTAGTTTGCCCTGAGTTAGGTTTTCCAATCCCAGAGTAGGAGGATGCTGTCGACTGGAAACTGCCCAAGCTGGAGGGCTATAGCCTGGACAAAATGTCTCCCTGTCTGCAAAAGGGACACACTTCTGAGCAGACTGCTTCCTTCATTACTGTATGGGAAGGGTGGGTGTGGGGGTGCCAAGCCCTGTGCCCTTAGCCCACAGTCTAGCAGCCTCTGGCTGTTCTAGATGTGGGACTTGCAGGGGGAAGGCAGGCTCTGTGGGGCAAGACAGCCCCTGGGGCAGGCTGAGCTGCCTTGCACACTTATAGAAGATAGGGGTGAACCTGACACCCCACAATAAGGAGACGGTGCGGCACAGCGATGTCCTCTTCTTGACTGTGAAACCCCACATCATCCCCTTCATCCTGGACGAGATTGGCACCGACATTGAGGACAGGCACCTTGTGGTGTCCTGTGCAGCCGGTGTCACCATCAACTCCATTGAGAAGGTGGGTGCTTCCAGGCCAGCAGGGCCTGCAGAGTGGGGGCTACATGAGGGTGAGTCCAGAGCTCTGCTCTACATTGCTGGGTTCTCCATCAAATCTTCCCGGCCCACTCTGGGAACTCCAGATGTTCGGTTGGGGGTGTGGTCCGCTTCCACACCCACCTGGGCCACAGGCCCAGGGCAGACACGGCCGGTTTCTCCTCCAGAAGCTGATGTCATATCGACCAGCCCCCAAGGTCATCCGCTGCATGACCAACACCCCAGTTGTGGTACGTGAGGGGGTCACCGTGTATGCCACGGGTACCCACGCTCAGGTGGAGGATGGCAAGCTCCTGGAACAGCTGCTGGGCAGTGTGGGCTTCTGCACAGAGGTTGAGGAGGACCTGATTGATGCTGTCACAGGGCTCAGCGGCAGTGGCCCTGCCTATGTGAGACGGGGCTGGTGGGCAGTGGCACGGGGGTGGGGGGGCTGTTCCCAGGGGCTTGGGGCAACTCTGTCCCTGGTCCCCTTCCAGGGCTGGGATGGGGGCTCTAAGGCTCTAGGAACTGGTATTTCACCCTGCCCCACTGTACTCCCTGCTCTGGACCCCAGAGGAGGAGGAAGAGAAGCGGGACAGTGGCTCAGGGTGCCTTCTTTTGGCAGGCGTTCACAGCCCTCGATGCCCTAGCTGATGGCGGTGTGAAGATGGGGCTTCCAAGGCGCCTGGCAGTGCGCCTGGGGGCTCAGGCCCTCCTGGTCAGTGTCTCTTGACCCTCTGGTGGGGGCTGCTCCTTGCTGATTGAGGAGCTGGGGACTGAAGCCCCTGGTAGGAAGTCATCGGGAGTGCCCCACCACCACCCTCAGCCCCTCTCTCTGGTTGCAGGGGGCCGCCAAGATGTTACTGGACTCAGAGCAGCACCCAGGCCAGCTCAAAGACAATGTCTGCTCTCCTGGTGGGGCCACCATCCACGCCTTGCATGTGTTAGAGAGTGGGGGCTTCCGCTCCCTGCTCATCAACGCTGTGGAGGCCTCCTGCACCCGCACACGGTGGGCCCTGCCGCCTGCTCCCCTCCATGCTGCACACAGCGGTCTGGGCCCCACAGCTGGCAACTCAGATATTTTCTGAGCTCTAGCCTGGCCTTGAGCAGGACATAAGGAACCCCAAGCTTCCTGGGGTCACAGTTTTCAACACCCCTCACACCTTTCCATTGTCTCTCTTTTTTGTTGTTGTTGTTGTTTGTTTTTTGAGACGGGGTTTCGCTATGTAGTTGAGACTGACCTGAATTCACTGTGCAGCCCAGGCTGGTCTCAAACTCACAGTGATCCTCCTGCCTCAGCCTCCCGAGTGCTGGGATTACAGGCATGTGCCACCATGCCCAGCATATATATATATATTGTTTGTTTTGTTTGGTACTGGGGATCGAAATCAGGTCCTTGTGCTTGCACTGAGCTAAATCCCTGGCCCTACCTTTCCATTGTCTTGTGAGGAGGCCACCTCCAGGCCTGGACAGGAGCCTGGGGGCCATTGAGTCTGGGGGAGGGAGCTGGTCTCTGCCTTCCTTGTGGCCTTGCTAGGGATAAAGGAGTCATTGCCTGGGATCTTGCAACAGATCAAAGGCAGACTGGGGCTGGAAGTCACAGTCCCAAGTGTCGGTCTGCAGGTGCCACTGTGCCCACCCTTTGGTGCAGTTACCCACAGACTTCTGAATGCCACGCGTGACAGTAAGGCTTAGCTGCAGGGCCTGCCCTCCCAGCACTGCTTGTAGGGTAGCAGAGAGGCAGAGACACCCCCTGGTTGGAACAAGAGCTCAGGGTCTGGGGGTGCTGTAGGTAGACAGAGTGACCCTGGACTTCTTTGAATGGGGTGAGCAGGAGCCATGCAGCTGTGTGGGGCAGGGTGTGGCTAGCAGGGTGGACTGTAGGTGCAAAGGCCCTGAGGTATGGGTGACAGCACAGCACTGCCCCAGGCTGCCAGGTGTGAGCTGGCATGATAGGTTCTGGAAGGAGGGAGAGCCCTGGGCCCAACTCCTCATTGCCTCAGCAGGGAGCTGCAGACCATGGCTGACCAGGAGACGGTCTCGCCCGCTGCCATAAAGAAGACTATCTTGGACAAGGTTAAACTGGACTCCTCTGCAAGAGCCTCCCTGTCCTCTTCGGACCGTGCCAAGCTATTGGCTCGCAACCTGGCTCCAGTAGGCCAAGACTGAGCATCCTGGCCGCCTGTCCCCACTCTTCTTTTTTTTTTTTTCGTGCGTTGGTGTCTTCACTTTGTAGCACACCTGTTGGGCTCAGCAGTCTTCCTGCTTAGCCTCACAGGTGCGCGCTAAGACTGCAGGTGTGTGCCATCACACCTGACTGCTCTGATTTCTTCTCTCCCGACTCAAGGCTTCTGCCCCGGGGTCTCAAGCCCAAGGCACACAGTGTCTCCACAGTGGTCAACTGCCATCCAGCCTAGCTCAACCAGGGCCACCTGGGGTCACAGTCAGGCAGGCGCTCGCCACTTCCCTGGGATACTTCGTGATCCCTGAGGGAGTGCCCAATCCAGGATGGCTTCCTGGGCCTCTTTTCCTCCAGGTTCCTCTGGAGCCCAGGCCTGCTGGGTGCCTTCCCCACCTCCAGTGTCAGCTGACTTGAGTCAGTGCCCTCTTGAGAACAGATGTCGGGTTGGGGATTTAGCTCAGTGGTTCTGCCTGCTGCCTGCCTTGCAAGTGCAAGGTCACCAGTTTGATCCCCGGTGCAAAAAAAAAAAACATATGTCAAGGGGCCCGGATACCCCTGGACATACCAGAGACATCAGCCTATGTGAGTGCCAGTAGGCCCAAGGAGCCCAGGCCCCATGATCCCAGGGGACATTTGGGAGATGGGCTCATGTCCTCCACTTGAGTACTCAGGCCAGCGACTCCCGTTCCTGTCACTTCTCTCTGGACCCTTTAGGTTGAATAAATTGGTTTCTGGAAACTCCCAGTGCCCTGACTTCTCACTGGCAGCCTCCAGCTGTGTCAGGGGTGACATGGAGGGAGGGCCAGAGGGACAGCCAAGTGTGGGTGGAGCCAGGCACCTTCCTGGCCGTCGTCACATCCCTGGCCAGAAGCTGGGACTGCAGGCAAGGCTGGGCACACTCCACAGGTGCCACTGCGGTGGCTTACTAGAGCTGATGTGTCACCAGCTGCCCAGGATGGGCACGGCCAGTGTCCTGAGGAGGAAGGAACCTTTGAGCATTCTGCAGAGAAACAGGAAGAGATGAAAAAGATGGTAGCAGCTGGCAGATCCCACTGTGGACTGGGCCAGCAGGCTGGGGACACTGGCTAATGCTCCACCAGCTCAAAGGCCAGAAAGCAGGAAAGTCAATACTGTAGCCAAGGTCTGAAGGTCATGTGTTGAAGAATCCACCCCTACTTGGGGTAGGGTTGGATTTGGGGTTCTATTCTACCCTTTAGCTGATTTGCTGAGGTCCATTCACAATTAGGGAAAACTGCTCTACTGATTAAAATGCTGTTTGTAGCAGGACATAGTTGCACACACCCATACTCCCAGCACTCTGGGAGGCTGAGGCAGGAGCATCACAAGTTTGAGTCCAGCCTGGGCAATAGTGAGACTTATCTCAAAAAATTTAAAAGGACCAGGACTTTAGCTCAGTGGTTACACCTGCCTTGCAAGCACAAGATCCCGAATTCGATCTCCAGTACCAAAAATTAAATAAATAAAAAGGACTGGAGATATTTTATTGATTGTGTGACTGATTTTCAGGCAGGGTGTTACTGTGTAGTCCAAGCTGGCCTTGCATTCACTGTGTAGCCAGGCTGGCCTGGAACGCCTGCTAATCCTGCCTCAGCCTCCAGAGTGCTGGGATTATGGGTGTATGTACCTCCTGCCTGGCTAATTGCTTGGAGATATAATTTAGTGGGAATAGCTGCCATTCAATGCTCAGTACCACAAAAAACATTTTTTAAGAGTTACTTGTATCTAATCAAGTTTACTGACAAAGGTTCCTTCCATGCAAAAACACCTTCACAGGTCTGTCTGATATCTGGCTTCCTGTGGCTCAGTCAGAGTGAGGCTAAAACAGCCCTTCCAGGAGGCCCCAGGATGGGGTGTACACAGGCCAGGAGTACTCTTGTTTGTCAATCAACAGTCAGTGTGGAGACAGGAAGATGGAGCCCCTCCCTCTGGAAGACACGAGCAGGGGAGCCAGCAGGCTGCAGGGTGTGTTGGGGAGCAAGGTGAGGCAGGTGGACCCCTGGGGCAGGGAGCAAGCCCAGCCCTGAGAGCTCATGGGAGGCTGCTCAGAATCAAGGCCAAGGCAGGAGCAAGGTGAGGCAGGTGGAGAATGCTTTAGGGCCAAGAATCCCCTCTATTGAATCTAAGGGACATTGAGGCAGAAGGAACGTGACGGAGTGCAGCTGAGCACAGGAGGCTTGGCCACAGTGGCCGCCAGAGTCCTGGTCCTCCAATCTAGGGTGGCAGTGGTGGAGGACCATGCTGTTGGGCTAGGATCTTGGATGTCTGCAGCTCCTCCGTAGACCTAGGCCTGGCGCAGGTCCCTGTTGTGTGGGTAGCAGTGGGCACTGGCTGGTTGGTTCTAGCATCAAGGCTGTGGGCACCCAGAACTACTTCTTCCCTGACACAAAGATGCCCCCAGAAAAGACTGTCCCAGAGGCCACGTGCTTGACATCTCGGGGGTCCTGAGGGAAAGGGGCGGGTTTCCCAGGTCCAGACAGGTTTTGTGAAGGCCATCAAGAAAGCATTAGAGGGGCTGGGGATTTAGCTCAGTGGTTCAGCCGCCTACCTTGCAAGCACAGAGATCCGAGTTCAATCCCTGGTACGAAAAAAAGAAAAAAGGCACTAGATTGCAGCAGGCAGAGCCTGCAATGCTTCCTACTGTGGGTCTCCATTAAGGAAACAGCCAGAAGTAGGGATGGGGATGGGAGTGGAGCCACACGGAGCCCTCAGTGGGGCAGGCAGACGGGAGATGGATGCCAGAAGCTACCAAGAGGATGAGAGTCAAGTGGGGACATGTATTTTATATGTTTGTGGAGCAGGCTGGGCTGAGAGGGCTGTGGGGCAAGGGACCCCAGTACTGCCATGCAGAGGACCCGTGAAAGGTCCCCAAACAAGGGTAGGCTGGATGGGACCTTCCCAACTGCCATTGCTGCCGGCTGTTACCCCCCAGTCCTAGACAGCTCCCATCAGAATGGAACAGCGCTGGGAGCCCAATTGCTGGGGAACTGGTGGTTGAACTGTCCCCCTCTGCCTGGTCCAACTTCTGCCGCAGTTTCCTGATTGGAATTGTCCTTGACTCCCATCTACGGTGGGGAGGGGGGTCTTTGTTCTTTCCTGTGCCAGGTTGACCCCTCTGCAGACCAGGCTTCAAAACAACAGGACAGGCAGGGAAGGGGGACAGCCACCAGAGAGGGCCTGGAATGACACAGGAAGCAGGACGGCCTGTTGGGTGTTGACACCAGCCAAGTCCCACACATCCTGAGCCTCCCAGCAGCATCAGGGTGGGGCCTGCTGATTCCTGGAGCTGGCAATGGGGTCCTGAGAGCAGACCAGCCCAGGGCAGCCATAGTCTGACCTGAGCAGAGACAGGGCCTAGGAGACATTGGGAGGTGTCTGCAGGAGGGTAGTGGCCCACTGCAGCAGGAAACAGTGCTGGAGGAATAAAGAAGGCCTGAGCATCAGTCCTTTACTTTTTTACTCGTTTTTTTAAGGACTGAAGCCAGTGGCATCTACCACTGAGCTGTATCATCCCCAGCCCTTTATTATTATTATTTTTTGAGACAGGCTCCCCTTGAACTCACTATGTAGTCAGTGATGGGCTCAAACTCACAGTGATCCTCCTGCCTCAGTTTCTTGAGTGGGATTACAGATGTGTGCCACCACACCCAGCTTTCTTCTTATTATTAATTATTATTATTAATTATATTTTTTGGTACCGGGGATCAAACTCAGGACCTTGCACTTACAAGGCAGGCAGTGGAACTAAACTAAATCCCTGGCCCCACCAAGCTTTATATCAACACAAAGTCATGCTAAGTTGCCCAGGCAGGACACAAACTTTCAACCCCCCTGCCTCAGTCTCCCTGAATCCTGAATTACAGATGTGTGCCACTGTGCCCGACTAAGTATCAGCTGTTAAGGCTACTTATGAACATGCCTTCATGGACTGACAGGGAGGCCCTGAAATCTCTCTTCTCGCAGTATCACCTTTTTTTTTGTTGTTTTTTTGGTACTGGGGATTGAACTCAGGCCCCTGCACTTGTGAGGCAAATGGCAAAACCACTGAGTCAAATACCCAGCCCTGTATCACCTTTTTTTTCCTTTTAATTGGTACATTTTAGGGATACAGTACAGTTACATTCATTATTGGGATCTTGTACCTTTACATGACGGGCCTTGGTTCTCATTTTTTCCCCTTGTCCCTGCCCTCCCTTCACCTCCTCCTCCCCTCCCCATTTACAAACACTTTATTTCCATTTTTTCATTCTCTCATATTTTTTTCTTTTCCCTTATTACCTTTCCCTACACCTTTAGCCCTTTTCTTCCTATTTCACATTGTCAATTATCTCATTAGGATCTTATGTACTATTATAGTTTTTCACATCAGAGAAACTATTCGGTATTTGCACATGTGTGACTTATGTATTTTACTTAGAAGTATATCCTCAATATGTATCCATTTTCCTATGTATGAATCTAATTTCTCACCCCCCATGGCTGAGTAGTATTCCATTTTATAGAAAAACCACATCTTCTTTATCCAGTCTCCAACTGATGGGCAAATGGGCTGTTTCCAAGTTTTAGCTATTACAAACTGTGCCGCTATAAACATAGGTGAGCTAAGAGTTTATCAATTTTATTTATTCTTTCAAAAAAACCAACTCTTTGATTCATTTATTTTTTGTATCATTTCTTAGTTTCCTTTGCATTGATTTCTGCTTTAATCTTTATAATTTCCTCTCTTGTTTGAGCTTTGGGTTTTTCTTGCTCTTGTTTTTCTAGTACTCTAAGATTCATCATTAGGTTGTTTATTTGAGCTCGTGTGTATCACCTTTTTAAAACAAATTTTTTTAATCCTGGAGATTGAACCCAGGACCTTCCCATAGACGTGAATCTTTATTTCAAGGCAAGGTCTCACTAAGCCACAAAATTGTCCAGGCAAACTCAAATTGTGATCTTTCTGTCTCAGCCTCCTCTACAGCCATGCACACCACGCCCAGCAGTGGTATCGCTTGATAGAATAGTTCTGTAGATGCCCTGGTGGTCCAGGTAAGGATGTACCACTCTGTCCAGCGACAGGTGTTCTGAACCCTTTGTGGGGAGCTGGCCCAGGGCTCAGGGAAGGGTGAAATCTGAGGGCTTTAGTTGCTTAGTACACCGACTGCAGACCATCTCGGGCTCCCTGGCTGGACCAGACGTGCGCCCGGGCCATTTGCTGCTTCAGTGCCATTCCCCGCTCCCTCAGCATCCCCATACACACAGGGACTCACCAGTGCTGCCGTACCACTGAGAAAGATTCTAGAGCTTAGGGTGCCTCCTAGAGTCCTCTGGACAGGTCCTGGAGGACAGGGTGGGCAGCACAGCTCCCATTACTGACCTCAGGGATGACCCCAGGGCCTTGGGCTGTCTCCCTGCAGGAAGCCACTGCACCCAACCCCCACAGTCTTCCAGGTGAGCTTGGCTTTGAGGATTTCCTGTGGACCTCTCTTGGGTGGGTGTACCCTCAAACATGCTTGTCTTTCCCCAGAGATGGAAGAGATTCTTGTGCCTGTGCCATGCAAGGAGGAGGAGCATGAACCTTCCAAATGAAGAAGAGACCACAGCACTAAAGATGATTCTTAGCTGGACATGGTAGTACAAAACTGTAATCCTAGCACCCGGGAGACTGAGGCAGGAACATCACAAGTTTGAGCCCAGTCTGGACAACTTAGTGAGATGATGTCAAGTAAAAAACAAAACAAACAAAACATTTTTTTAAAGGATGGACTGGAAGCTGGGCATGATTGCACATGCTTGTAATCCCAGCACCTGGGAGGCTAAGGCAGTAGGATCCCAAGTTTAAGGCCAGCCTGGACTACACAGAAAGTTCAAGGCCAGCCTGGGTTTTGAATGGAACTGACCTTCAGATCCTCTGAAATGTCCCTAATAATCAACTGCCTGTTTGACCCAATCATTTCACTCATTCTTTCCAGCTTTTTTTGGTTTTTTGATGTTGAAGGACATCCTTTTTTTCTTTAACTGATTCACAGTTATTACAAAATTGCTCAAACCACTCAAAAACTATCTCCATGGTCAGTGCACCATCACCATACACTGACTTTAACATTTCATGTGTTTCTTTAGCAGGTTTTTGTTTTGTTTTGTTTTTTGTTTTTTTGTACCTGGGATTAAACTTGGGATCTTGTGCTTTTGAGGTAGGTGACAGCACCACTGAGCTAAATCCCTGGCCCTCCACAATACTTCTTGGATTGAGGAATCCTCCCTTTCCCTTGGATGGCATTCAGCAGCAGCATTCACTGTACTTTTGAACATGTCTCACAGGGGACTGGCCAAATCCAGTGTGGTTGCTCTTTCCTGCCTAAAAAAATTATGTGGAGGGCTGGGGATTTAACTCAGTGGTTCTACTGGCTGCCTTGCAAGCACATGGTCCTGAGTTCAATCCCTGGTACCAAAAAAAAAAAAAAGAAAAAAAAAGAAAAGTTATCTGGAATCTTCAGTGAATTCAAAGTGAGGAAGAAATGTGAGATAGCCTTTGTCTAAGAGATGGAGCAAGCCTGAAGCAGCCATATTTATACTTTGTCAAGGATCTGGAAGTCAAGGCAGCCTGGATTTTGAGAGCTTGTCTCAAAAAAACAACAATAAAAAAAGATGATTCATGCATCAGCTTCTCAGTGTCCTCCTATGTATGAATGAAAGAAAACTAGGCTCCATGCTGCAAGCAGAGATGTGTGCCGGGCTGAGGAAGGTGACTGGGGAGCAGCCCAGTGACTGTCCACCCCACAGCAGTTGCCTAGCCAAGAACCATCGGTCCCTGTTTCCTGATGGCCCTCGAGGACAGAGGAGCAGTCGCCTCGGTGGGTCCTGGTGGGACCCTGTGTGGCCTGTCAGGTCCCTGCTTCACAGGCTCAGCCTCACAGTAGAAGGGAGCTTGCACTTCGTGGCCCCTCTGAGAAGGGGAACAGAAGCAGAGCACAGGCCTGCACTTGGTCTCAGGCTAAATCTCTGCTATTTTTTACAGTCTGCTATCTTTGTACATTAAAAACTGAGGGCTTAGGTGGGCGTAGTGGCCCACTCCTTGAACTTTTGATCCTCCTGTCTCAGCCTCCCAGTGCTGGGATTACAGGTGTGTGGCAATGTGTTGAGGTTCCCGGATACTCTTGAATGCAGGAGTTGGAGGGAAGCCTGGACAACTTGGTCAGACTTCATTTCATTAAAGATAGAGAAAAGCTGAGACCTTCAGAAGTCATGCAATAAGCATATTAAACTCCTATAGTCTGAGATCTGGGCTATGCCTAAGGTGGGGAACAAAAATAAAGGTTCCTGTCCATTCGCTTAAGAAGAGAACAAGAACACCCAGAGCCCTCTGTGGCAGCTGGACACGATGTGCTGAGGGATTCAAAGAGAACTTCCTGGAAGTTGGCCCGATGGACAGATCTGGGGACTCCTGTGTTGGCCCCTGCCACACTCTTATTCTTCATTCAGCATCACCAAATCGCTGCCTCCTCGCTCCTCTGTCACCTTCTTGCCCGCCTGGCACAGCGAGTCACCCTTCCTGGCTTTACACCTCGGAAGGAAAGAGGACTGAGTAGAAAGTCCAGAAACTGGCTGGATGTGGTGGCGAATACTTGTAATTCCAGCACTCTGGGAGGCTGAAGCAAGACTGAAAGGTCACGCCCAGCGCAGGTAATTTAGTAACTTTATGAGACTGTCTCAAAATAAAAAATAAGAAAAGGACTGGGAATGTACTAAGCATCAAGTCCTCAGGCTTAATTCCGAGTGCTGGGGTAAAAGCGAAGCTGGGCATAGTGGCAACACGTTTGTAATCCAGCACTCCAGAGGCTGCAGCAAGAATATCAGTAAGGTTCTGAGATCAGCCTGGGCTAGTGAGTTCAAGGCCAGCCTGAACTACATAGCGAGACCCTGCCTCAAAAAGAATGTAAAAATTAGGGGCCAGGGATTTAGCTCAGTGGCACCACACCTGCCTCCCAGATGTAAAGTCCTGAGTTTGATCCTCGTTACCAAATAAAAATAAAAAATAAGTAGTAATTAATTTTATAATAATTTTCATAATAAAATAAAAGGTGCAGAAACGAAGAAATTAGGCTCAATTTTCTTTGTTACTTCCTCCTCTGGGAATTTTCAACAGTGCTGGGGTCTGCTTACAGAAACGAGAAAAGCAGACACAAGAGTCAGAGCGAGGTTCTGGACCGATGTCAGCGTCTCGGGAAAGAAAACGTTACGATTTGTTGCAGACTGGGGTGTAGCTCAGGGGCGGAGTGCCTGCCTACCGAGCGCGAGGCTCTGGGTTCAATTCCCGGTACGGGCCGGGGTGGGGCAGCAATTCACACATCAACGTTTAATTCTTGTGAGTACTACACACCAGACACCGTCCGGAACTACCCGAGGCGCCTCTACCTTGAGGTTTGGGGGGCCATCGGTGAGTGTCGAGGCCTTGTGCTCCCTATGCAGCTCCGGAGTCTCAGCTGTGCCTCTGAAAAGCCCCGTCCCCTCCAGCCTGCTGATTATTTGGGATGCAAGAAACATCGCAGCCACATGGGGTAACTAATAGGGTACCAGGGCAAGGGCGGGAAAGCTCCACTAGGGTTCTCCGTGTTAGACCTCGGGCCTCGGTCATCCTAACTGTGGAGGTACTGCCACTGTGAGCCTGTGTGCATAAAAGGGTGATGCCCATGCCACACAG